TATTGGTGAATCTTGACCATCACGTTAGGGTTTTCAAACATAAGCCAGAAGAACCAAGTGAGTGTAGATGCAACAGTGTCTTTCCCCACTACAAAGAAACCTAAAATGACATCTTTAAGGAATTTATCATCAATAGGATCCAAGATCCCGTGCTTGGTTACATCAAGCTTTATGAAGAACGATAAAACATCCTTAGCTTCTCCATTATTGGAATGATGATTAGACCCTTCTCGTATTTCAATTCTCTTAGCCGAAATGTATTTTTCACACAGACGATCAAAAGTGGCATCAGCTTCTATCAGCTTCTTCTCTTGTCCCAATCCCATCTTGTGTTGCAGCTTCCATAAGAGTTTTGGTTTCAGATGCCTATACAAGATCGTTGCTTCAACGTCTTTATGGGCTTTGATGAACTCATCCTTAGGCATTTGAATTGAGAGAGATTGACGATCGGTTCCGGTTATTGTAATAAGGGTTGTATCGAACATGAATCTGTGGAACACATCCTACAAGTCCACAACTTTCCTTTCCTCTGCCAAATGATTAAAAAGTGGCAGAAGTCCGTATTTGAGTTTCTTTCTCGTGGCACTCATTGAAAACTTTTGGAACTTCTGATCATGGACCATGGCTTGATAACACTTCTTTAGACTACTCCATCGCTCCGAGTCCGCGGTGAGTATCCCGTCTCCGTAAACATCAAAAATCTCCTGGAACTCCGGTCCTTTGATGTAGTTGGAGAAGTTTGTGCTCATTATATGCTGAATATTAGCCAGATCAACCGTGACTAATACATCCATTCTAGCGAACCACGGGCCCTTGTATGGGAACGTTAGGTTGGCATTCTCGAGAACCTCGACGCCATCAGAGATCCGGTGGAGCCTCACAAGCAAACCCGGAGCCATACCGAGAACCGGCCAGTTCCAAGGGTAGCTTTGAAAGGTTTTCTTGATAAGGAAGTAATCAAAGTGTTCTTGATGAGAAAGTAAGAGAATATGATAACGCAAAAGAAAGCTATGAATGCTTCTAAAAAGCCGATCAAAGCCATTAAGATAAGTTTGGTTTTGGGTACAGAAGGAGAAAACGAAGGAGCTTGGTTTATGCACAAATATTACACATAGAGAAGACTAGTTCTCAAGTATTGTGCCACTATATACAAATAACTAGAGTGTTATCTTTCAATCCACATCAATTGTCTCGAAACAGCGAAATAATAGTGTGGGAATTTAGGGTGTGATTGGTTCGGCTGTAACTATAGATTTGTTGCTGTAGAATTTTAGTCTGTAGATTTTTCTGCTGTAGCTTTAGTTTTTTTATGCTGTGAGAAAATCCTATAGCCTTTAAAGCCATAAAATAGTTGCTTTAGAACAAAAAAGTAAAACATGAACAAAAAAAAAATCAAGGCTGTAGAAGCTGTAATTTTAATATAGGACCCATTAAAATACTTAAAGTCTGATTGTAAAAAAACATTTTTAAAACCCAACCAATCACACCCTTAATCGTCTCCTACATATACTGGCACATTAATTGCATCCAGCGCAAAATGACATAATAATTGAAGAGGATGTAACTAAAATCACATAGTTTTC